TCAGGCACTGGCATCCTGTCCTGTCCTGTGAGGTGCCGCTTTTACACCATTCCGTGTTATCATCGTCATCATCATCAGGCGTGCGTTGTAGGAGGCTGGTGGGTGGAAGGGAAGGGTTGGGGAGCGGGTGTGGGGGGCGCCAGTGGCCGTTTGCAAGCCGAGGAATTGGGTTGAGAGGTTGAATCGACTGACCTGTCGAGCCTGTGTTGTTGGAAAGGTGATGGTGGTGGTGTGGAGCCGCACACCGCCGCCGCTCACCTGGTTTGATTAGACGGGAGACTGCATTCAATATCACAAAGGCAATAGGCCGCGAAATGGCTTCCGTCGGAATATTGGGAAGTATGCCACGTCACCTCGATTCGAGCAATCTATTCCGGGAGCAGCAGCAACATGCCGGGCAGTCTGTTTCTGCCCAAAGCCCGTCTATGAAGCGTGACCGTGACGTGACGGGATTGCTCTCCGACGCATCATTTTGGTGAGAGGTGCAGGTGGGCTACCTTAGCTGGTGAGGGTTGGCGAGCTGCTCATGTTTTTTCTTAAGTCTTCATCAGACAGCCAGACAGAGGCTGGTAGCCCTGTGGTGAGGAGATATATGCATGGTCATGCATCATGCACCCCCTGCACGAGGCGGCTCAGCCTGCGGTGCAAATAGACGTTGAATCGGCAGCATGGGTGCAAGATCGGCAAGGGGCGGCGGCTGAGAGATCCAGACCTGCCGTGTCCCAGACTCTCGGTCAACTTGCATACTGTCGTGCAGTGGAAGGACCGTGGGGGCCATCTGATTATCAGAGACTTTCAAGATTAGTCGTTAACACCGAAAGGCCTTCCCAAATTACAACCCCTTGCGGCGCTTGGAGCGGCATGATAAAGTAGCCAACATTAGGAAGCAAAACAGTCGCCCCATCGGAAGCGGCCGTCGGTTCGGTCACCACGCCGGGCCCGAGCCTCTGCAAAGGATCACTGACGAGTTGGGATTTTGGACTGGAAGTCTGTCATGGTGAGACACCAGGATCGTATCTGGACGGAGATGGCCGGAGATGGACGGAGAAACACAGACTCGCCCCAGCCGGCAAGGTACCCAAGAGAGGTACTGAGAGCATGTCCGAATTTACGCGGGCCCTCGGGGAAGGTCGCCTGGCCGCAGCTCCGGGCCCTGGTCGGTACATGTACGGACCCAAACTGGAAAACAGGATTGACCGTTTCCATCTTTTGACTTGGACAGTGTGAGGCGGTGAGACTGTGGGACTGTGAGACTGTGAAAGTGCCGAAAGTGCCGAGAGTGCCACGGTGGCACCGATTCCACGGAATGATTTTGAAGCAATTCACAGCACCTGGTACCCAGGTACTCACTCACTCACTCACTCATTGACACGCCCGGGGACCGGGGCTGGGGTATTCGGATACTTGGGGAATGTAATGTGATGTCGCCATGTCGATCACCCAGCGCCGGAGAAGTGGGTACTTGGGTGCCTACCGCTCCACGAGCTGCCTCATCAACTGGGTCGTGAAGCTGGCGGTTTTGCGAGGACAGGTTCTGTGCGTGGAATTGTTTTTGGTTTGGGGTTAGGGCTGCAAGTCAGAACCGATTCACTGCCTTGCATAGCAGGATCAACAACATGTGACTTCGTGATCCAACTCACCAGGGTTAGGGCTGAGAAATGCCCCTCCATCGATCCACTTGCCTGTTGCCTGTGAACCTGTGGTGCTTGCCGACTTGTCACGCGCCTTCAACGCGTCAACCAAAACCAAACCGACTTGTTGCATGCGATGTCCACAGCGGGACCCGCCGGCGGTTGATGAACCCAACATTTTCATCAACCAACTCGAGTACCGCCCGCACACAAACCCCGACCCTGCCGCCCGAGAACACCACCCAACAACACACACCGAGACCCAACCAACACCACCCGCACCACCACCGGCAGTAACAGCCACAACCCCCCCCCAAAAATGCCACCATGCCCCCCCGACACCACCACCAGCACACCTTCACCATGGTGCCCAACCCGCTGGGGATGCAGGGGCTGATGGGGCGACCGACGACCGGGCCCGAGAGCAAGCCGCCGATGACGTCCAAGCAGGCGCAGAAACTCTACCGCGAAGCGACGCGCGGGCCGCGGCTGTCGCGGGCCGAGCAGCGCCGCGTCGAGCGCGAGGAGCAGGACCGCATCCGCCGCGAGCTGGACCGCGACCGCCAGACCACCCGCGCCCGCGCCCTGCGCGACAGGAAGAAGGAAAAAGAGCAGCGCGTGCTGGAGGACAAGAGGAGGAAGGGCTTGCCGCTGGTCGAGCCTCGCGCGAGTCAGGATACAATTTCGAGGTTTGTGAGGGGGAAATGGGGTCGGGAGGAAGCGGGATGGGACGGGGGAGAGGGTGGGGTTGGTGGCGGTGCGGGAGGAGGAAGAGGTGGATGAGAATATACCGCCTGGGCAAGCAGCAGGGACAACTGGTGAGGTCAAGAGGCGGCGGTTGGGGGATGGGGCGGAGGAGGCTAAAAAGAACACGGCAGTGAAGGTAGAGGTTAAGGAAGTGAGGACACCCGCCAAAGGAGTCGAGGATCTGGGGGCGAAGGGTGCTCTTGAAGATGGACAAGCATCGACATCTGGTGGCTCTGCATCTCTGGGGGAGCGAGTCGGCAAGGGAGTCACCGGGGGTGACAACGGAAAAGACCCGGCACCTAAGAAGAAGCTCCTGGAGACACCGAAATTGGAAGAGATGAAAGGGCCCACAGAGGAAAACGCGCATGGGAGGAAAACAAGTGCGGATGGCTCAAAGCTCAGTTCAGGGCCCAGCCAACCTGGCCCCCCAAAGGCTACTGATGAGTCCCTCGCTGCAAAGACATGCACGAAACCCCCGACTGCTCGGCCCTCCCGGCTGGGAACGCCGAACCAGAGCGCGCCATGCCCTGAAAAGGCCAAGATAAAAACGACGCCTGACCCGCCGCCAAACACAACGCCAATCAACAAGCCAGGTCAAACGCAAAACCTCCAACCTCATGCAGCCCGCCCGCCACAACAACAGCGTCCTCCGAAACCTGCACCGGCTCAGCCTCCATCGGCTCGAAAAGTGTTGCAGGAAACCACCAATGCCCCGAATCGACTTCGAC